TGATAGGTGAGGGTGATTGTGGAGCAAAANTTTTTTCTTTTTTCTTTTTCAAATGTAGTATCTACATATTGCTTAGGATTGTAAAATGTTGTTAGTATCCTTGTAACTTTGTAGGTTTGTTTGTTAAGTTGTACTCCTGGATAAATCAATCAATTAATCAATCAATATAGTTCGTAGTATGCTTGTAACTATGTAGATTTATTTTGTTAACTTATATTACTGAATGACGTGTCCAAATGTTACTATGTAGCAAAACGGATGAAAATAAAATACAATACAATACAATACAATTGGTGAAATGAAGATTGGCAGGGGAAACCGAAGTGCTCAGAGAAAACCTGCCCCAGCGCCACTTTGTACACCACAAATCCCACTTGACCAGACCCCGGGATCGAACCCAGGCCACCGAAGTGGGAAGCCAGTGATTAACCGCTTGAGCTATGGTGTGGCCCTTTATACAGTGTTAAAAAGCACTATACAAAAAGTTATTAGGATTTTAATTCAGAAACTTACATTACATAACGTACTTTAAAGTGTTTCTCTTCTGGAAAGGACTGCTGCCAAAAGAATTAACATAGGATACACGGATGTAAATATATACAGAAAGAGATTCCTTCCTTGTTAGGACATTTAGGGGTCGCTATAGACAGAGGCTTGAATGAAGGAACCTGATTGAAGTACGCTAACAGCAGCTAAACCAATAGCTTGCATATTTTCCCAATACGTGCAGAACTGTGTAATGAATTACAATTTGCTTGTTGTAGCTTCCTGGGCAATACTAATGTGAAACACGTCTATTTTAGCCTTATCCATCCAGTAAAAGAGAAATTCACACATGTTTCTGCACACCAATCCATCGCGCCTCAGTCTGGCGTTGTTCATCTTCTGTTTCTTTAACGGTTCTGCTTGTTCTTAAAATTTAACTATATTATAAACACCTTACATTTTTTACGGTCAAGGCAAATATGTTCCTTCAAGGGACAGAGAACTGAAAGTATATCTGACTCCTCAGCATGCAGACATATGAAATGAACTGTAAACTACATAAATTTATTACGAGATTGTGTGTGTTACTTTTCACATCAGCTTGTAATTAACCCGTCTGGAGTGTATACTCATGCAGACGTGGTCCGCAGAACGAATGGATAACACGCACAACAGTTTCACAGCCGTATTCATTACTACGTATTATTAAAAATGGAGAAAGGCATGGTCACAATTTCTGGTTTCCTATTTAGAGTCCAGAAAAGGTGTGCAATAACTTTACATCATACAGATGAACATATATGTGTTGTCAGCCAGAAGCTATATTCAAATCAGAGTCCTGAATACAACTCATTAATATTAATTTCAAATCATCCATAAGTGCAGGTCCTTGGACTAGACAACACATTACAAAATACTGCTGGTGAATGGTTAACAATCCCACTTCTTATTCAGGATGTCTCATGTTCTTTTCTAAGTAATGCCAGGTTTTTTCACTGAAATTTTTCAGTTTCCCTCAGTCCCAAAAAGCAAATGTTTGAATGGGCATTTAAGGACATCACAGTTACTACAGTTTTGTATTCAGTTACAAATGACAGAAAAAGGAGTCTACTTTACTGGCATAAAAGTGTTCAACAATCTGCCACAAAGTATTAAAAACTTGGGCAATGATACTAAAAAGTTTAAATCAGAGTTAAAGAATTATCTACATGCTCATTCCTTCTACTCTTTAGATGAATACTTCAATGTAAATAGAGAATGATGTAAAATTAAGTTATATTAATTTTTAAGCTAAAATTGCCTTACTTATGTATGTAACATTTTGACTTGTTCTGTATCCAAAGGTACTAACCTGCTTAGGATTTATAGAATGTAAATAAATTCAATTCAATTCAACTCTTCTATACTTACATCTGTCTTAAGGTTACCAGATTTCATAAGAATGACACATGCCTGGTCCATTTGGTTCACACTGTGTTACAGATTGAGTTCTTGGGACAGTGTCAGAATCTACTTAATTTTAATTCAGCATCCTCATCCCCTTCCACTCTTCAAAAGGTTAAAAGCAGCTGTCTTACAAGCATTACAAAACAAATGTTTTCTTGTTACTAAACGTCTTGGTATCTTTACTTCTATGCACTGATGAATCACTGTATAGTATATGTATATATATATATATATTTATTTATTTATTTATTTATTCTGCCCTCTGTAGTCCTCATAATAATTACAATTACTTTCTCATACATTATGAGTGGAAATAATTTTATCCAATCAGTTTGTCCTATAAACACACCCCTTCTCAACCATTACATAAAATTCAGCACTTTTCTCAGCTATGAGGATTACAGCATCAAGTCTTCAAAAGCACTATTTTGGGGTTCAAACATCTGAGGTTTCTTTGTCCACCATGTTATTACCAACTGTAAGAAATTAAAAAATATGAGATTTAAGTGGCCTCTAAGGGCAGAATATCCTTACTAAATTTTATGAACTTTGGCTGGCTGGTTTAAAACTTGCTGTAGGGTTGTGCATGTACACCTGCACACATGCATGCACAGAGGATAATGAACTCCTTTATCCTCCTCGTTCATTAAGAAAGGAATTTGACCAAAAATATGATTATCCTGAGGCAGCAACATCCAACATGCCACTGTCATGCGTGGCATACTGAATACTGCCTTATGCTCCATGCAACATATTGTGACATGTGAATCCACTGCACAGGTAACGGCTAGTTCATACACGTATCTGGGTCGACCATATGAAAGAGTCAGTAGTTGAGCAACGCTTGGTAAATACGGCCTGAAAGCCGGAATACAGGAGTTGAAGCCAGGCGTCCATTGCCAGCCAACGGCTCAATAAGCATTGCTCTCACAGCAACGTATACAGATGTTTCCTGCACAAGAGAGGTGTCGTTTTCATGACAACGGATAGCTGAACTGTTCAACTCGGTGTCCCCTATTCGGTACGCCAAGCAAATATAAAATAGCAGCAGTAACAGAGCAAGAAGTGAGTCAGCAGTGAATCAGCGTGCTTTCGAGAGCTAAGCAGAATTCGAGAAGACTAGAGGCTAGACACCAGTGCAAGGTCTAGGCAACAGTGACAGATTCATTATCCAGAAGGAATTAAATGTGTGAGCTGTCACAATCCAGTGTAACTGTAACAGGGACGCCAAATAAATCCAATTATCAAATCTAGAATCAACAGTTATTCATCACGTTAGTGCTTATACATGACAATATGTACAGCATATCCCAGAAAACTAACTGTAGCACATTGTTGCAAACGAAGTGGGAAACAAATGGGTGTTGCATGAGAACATATCTTAGAAGCAGATGCAAATTATGCACCTTTTTACTGGGATAAAGCATTTTTCCCCCAAGAGATGAATACCTGGAAGCAATTCATGTTTCACAATTTTCAAGACAGTGTAACAGGTGATACTGGACTAAGAACAAGACAGATATTCTTTGCAGTACATAGTGACTAAAACAGGAAAACTCAGCATAAATGGGAGACTTGAGCTAAAGTTGCTTATAACATATGACTGCTCCACTTATGGCAATCGAGTACACTAAAATTCCATTCCAATTCTTTCAAGAATCATTAATTAGTAAGACAGTCTCTGAAGACTTTTCAGTAATGGTAGACACTTTAGGATTCTCGCATTTCAAAGATTATTCCTTACTTGAGTAACATTTTCACCGGTAAGTAGTCAGAAATTCATTAACTAGCTGTTCGACATTCAGTTCTGAATAATCTTAATAATTTATCCAGAATATCATCATAATCTTTGAATTTTTATCAAGTAGCAACATTTACATTTTGGTTCTTAGCTCCACTTTTGACCACAGTTTATTCTGCCAAGTCTGCACACTTGTTTTACATAAAACAACACTTTTGCCTTTAGACCTTAGCTGAGTAATTTTGTTGCCGTTCTCATTAAACATGACCATATATTCACAAGAAAAATATCAACTATAAGATAAGAAGAGCAAAACTCGAGACCAAACTGTAATTGTACAAGGGGACCAACAACTTGCAAAACATCACATGCAGCAGGTAGCAAAATTTAATAATACAGTCCTACACATATTTCTCTATTACAAGTCCCTTACTAGGCTCAGTACCATCGCCTTGGAGCACAGCCAGCCACTGAACCCTAGTGACCATCTCGCAGGGCTACTAATGACAGATCTGCTGGGGATTCACAGCAGATCATGACTGACAGCAGTGCCAGGGGAGTTTAACCCCAACCCCTTCTGTTCTATTTTATGTATCCAAATACTATACAGCGAATGGGTTGAGTCCCCAGTGGCTAAAAATCATAAAGGTATATCCATTCTAGTGCTTGCTGGAATACTGTCAAGATAATATTTACCTTGTTTATAAACAACAGGTGCAACAAGTTAAATAATTAAGATCATAATCTGATATTATGCTAATGGTTATATATGGGCCCATCATTAACAGTTGCTTCTATAAAGAGGATATTCCTAGGCACAGTGTCAGAGCAGACAATTTTCCTTCTCCAGCACCTTCATGAACTCCTTCATTTGCTGCGCTCTTCTGCATTCAAAATCGCCAAATAGGCAGAAACGGTGATTTTAATTCAATTCAATTCAATAAAGAACAGATCAAAACCCATCTTACTACTAAATCAGTCAGAGAGCACGATGCTTTGGTGTAAACAGTCTTGAGGCATGCACAATGCGCTGAAAATTGCCGTATGCCTCACAATGCGGTGAAATGAAGTGGCGCACGTCATATTTCCTCGCTGCAATCGTGAGTTAAGAAAGGAAAAGACAGAAAAGAAAACCCGCTTCAAAATAGTGTTTCATTCTATATGTAATTCCTTTTCCATAAATACTTTAGGGTCTCAATATAATTGCAGTCCTACTGAATCTGTTGATTGTATTTCAAAGTTCCAGAAGCTCTTCACATTCTGGAATAGTATATTATTCAAACACTGTACTACATTTGGCTAGCTACGTGTATATTTCATCACTCACCTAAATCCTTGTACTTTTTCCTGAACCCTACTGACGACTGTCTTCTTCGGTATTTGAGGCTGGTCTTCCAGGCCCATTTCAGCTATTGCTTGTGCCAGATGTAGATTTTCTTCATTCATTTTTCAGCTTGTTTATTTGAACACTTCACTCTGCAATTAAACAAAAATGAATCAATCAATAAAATTTTAAAAACTGAAATTCCAGGAATCTCTAGAAGTCAGTTTCACTGAAAACACCACATTGAGAACTGTGAAAAGTGTAAATTTGATTTGGTTACGGAACAGGTCACATGAGACAAGGGTGGCACTAAACCATCAAACAACTACATATTATTTTCTGAATTAAGGATGAGAAGCTCCATTATCTGTACCCTTCACCAGGTATTAATCTGATTTATCAAGGAGGGTGAAATGACCACGGAGCGGACTACGCATAAAACTCCGTGGTTGTAGTCTGCAAGCGAACTATATCGACCGAGCGAGCGACCGCAGCTTGTCGGCGAAGTTTAGTGCCAACTTTTGCGGATAGAGGGTGTCGCGTGGCCAGCGCAACGACGTTAATTTTGGTTTTCTACATCGGAGCCGCAATTTCCTTGAAATAGCTCCTCAATTATGATCACGAGGCTGAGTGCAACCCGTTCCAGACCCACTACTTCTCGGAAAAAATCTGGTAGCTCCGGGAATCGAACCCGGACCTCTGGAACGCTGACCATTAGACCACAGAGGCGGTCCGGACTATGCCTAATAAAACAGAAATGCTCAGAAAATATTAGCCTAAAAATCTAAACAGAAAATACCACACGGGAGATCAAGACACAGGTGGGAGCATAACATTAAAATATATCTGAAAGATATAGTGTGTGAAGATACGGACTATATGCAATGGCTCAGGAGAGGTTCCAGTATCAGACTCTTGTGAACACGGTAATGAAACTTCGGATTCTATAAATGGCGGGAAAATATCTTTCAAGATGAGCCTATTGGACTCTCAAGGTTTCTGCTCCATGAACTTAGTTATGCATCTGGGCATTCGAATACTTGACTGATGCTGACTATTGGCATAAGGTTTTCACTGTTATGGGAAAAGTTTACTTTTGCAGGCGCAACTGTTTCTTTTACGTCGTAAGGTTCTGCCTGCAGCATGTAACAGCGCTACTGTTGTGAGTTTCTGCATATGGCGCCAACGTTTTGCTTCCAACATAGTTTTCAGGTGAAACTTGCGATTTTCGAGAGAGCCGAATAAAAGCTACTGCATATATACACTTCGGAAGAGTATGCCGAGCAAGCAGGAACGCAGGCTGGGCAGAAGCAGAGTGCTCTGCTAGCTGTGTTTACTCTTCAAACCCTGAAGATGGAAATCCTCCGTAACATCGGTAAACGTCTACTACACTACATGGCGTCACATCCGTAAGGACATCATTCTTCAAAATGTAAGTGATCCTGCTGCCGACATCTTCTATTCTCGACCATAACAGGCAAGCCTTAAAGGAAAGATATACTGCACTTTCTTTTTTCAGCAAAAGTCCCGATTAATAAGAGAAAAATTTTGATAGAATTCCGACCGTGTTGAAATCATATTTGTCTTATCCTGTTAATGCAGTGCTCTATTACAACATGACTTTGTCGAGTATATTAAACAATTTACATATTAAGTATTTTACTCTCTTTAAGCGCGTGTAACGATAGCGAACAGTGAAACCTTAATACTGATTGCATATTCATTCAGTATTGGCCAACAGTTCTGATTTGTCGACAGTCGGAACACGTTACACATTTGTTCATCATAACGGGATAATTTTCCGTGATTGTAATCATTCGATTTATCTAACACAAGACACCTCCGCAACTACAGAATATCACTTAGCTTTTTCATAATAGTTACATTTCATTTTCTTATTATAATAAGGATGATGGATGTTCGGAATCATACGAAATTCCTTCTGTTGAACATGCCTGTAAAGCGTGCTCAATCTCTGTGTGTTACTGCGATGTTACAACTACGTGTTGCTCGGGGGGGGGGGGGGGG